TTTTGGATGGTGGGTATTTTTGTATCTCTAAGTATCTTTGTGCTTTGTTCTGAGATGCAGTTAAATTACTTGGAAACAGTTTCATCCTTTTGGATCTTGTTTTTAAGATCTGTTAGGTAGAAGCAGAGCCATGTTTAGAGCTATTATTTCCTCACTATTGAAGCAAGATCCTTCTAAGTACACATTGTCCTGTGACTATGAAGTTAACCGGTCTGGCTGGTAGAAACAGATACTATTCCCAGCCTTGTATAAACATCAGGACTAGTCCTTCTAATCTTCTCAAATGGCTCTTTCCCCAGCTTTCCTCCCATGTAGTTTCCTCCCATGCTTGTGCCAATCACCATGCTACTTATTACTTGAGGTACCTTCCACAGACCCCTAGGGTTCTCTGTCTCTCTGTAGCTCTCTCCTGGTGCTCTGTCCTGCATACTCTAGCTGACTTGGTTACATTGTCTCCCAACACTTGGTGGTAGAGTCTGAAGTCTGATTGATCAAGAGTAAACCCGCAGTTTTGCCCACATTGGGTCTAGAAGAACTCCAGTCTAGCTCTTTACAATAAAGAAAATAATCTTGCTAACAGCTAATCAGGAACACCCAAAGATTCCAAAATTTCAAAATATTTCTTTTCTTTTGCAATTCAGTTTCCTTTCAGTAGACACAGAGCCCATCTCAATGAGAGTACAGGGACACCTTCCCTTTCACTCCTTCTCCATAGTCACCTCAGCCTTTTCTACCTCTCTGCCCTCTCTTGAGAGGCCTACATCTTCTGGGGGAAACCTGGAAATTCTTGGGGATCAGATAGGCTTTGCTCCTGGCTCCAACCTGGAAGGGTAACATTTGGTCACTATGGTTTCTTAGACATACATTCCCTCACACTTTTCTGAGTGGAACATGAAAGAGACCCCAAAGCCTTCCCCTTGCTGAGATGGACCAGGTCTCATAGGACAACTTTAGTGTATTTAATAAAGTCTCTGTTTCTTTACTGTGAGAGCAAGAAGGGAGAAATGAGGAGAAATAAAAACCCCTTTCTGCATCAAAGGTACTATTCAAATTAATAAGTTAAATAGGTTTTGAAGGTAAGCCTAAGGAATTCACCATCATTGATTTGGTGGAGGATATGCCTACAATCCAAGCAATACCTTTTGTTGGGAGCTCCCTAGAGAGAGCATAATAATTGTAATTTTTTAAAAAAAACACTGCAGAAAAATTTTATTTTTATATAGGCAGATTTATCAATCTTTTCTAGTAAGAAGTAGTATTTACCTTTACTCTTTTTTGTTTTTCCCTCTTACATCAAAAATTAAACTTGAACAGCTAGATTAATATCAATTCTTTTTTAAAAAAATTAATGACATGGAAGTCAAGAGACAAATAATAATATTAGCCTTTGTCATTTATTTGTTATCTTTGGACAAGCCATTCTGTCTCACTAAGAGCAGTTATTTTCATCAATAAAGTGAAGACTTGATGATCTAGAGAGATTTTTAGTGGTGGTTTAAAGACATGTCCACAAATTATTTGATACTCCTCCCTTTAAGAGGTAGAACTTAAATTAAATGTAGCCTGGACTTAGTGACTTGCTTCTAATGAATAGAAGAATATAGAAGAAGTGATGATATGTCACTTCCAAGCCTTGGTCATAAAAGGCATTGCGGATTCCTTCTTGCTCTCTCTCTGGGTTCCCTTGTTCTGAAGGAAGCCATCTTCTGTGTTATGAAGATACTCAGTCCTCTGGAGAGGCCCATGTGGCAAGGAACTAAGAGGCATCCTACCAATATCCAGAAAGGAACTCAAGCTTTCTACCATTAGCCTTGGGGATGCACCATCTTGAAAACAGATCCTCCAGCCCTAGTCAGGCTTTTAGGTGTTGGCCTTCAGCCCTGGCTGACACCTAGACTGTAACCTCATGAAAGATCCTGAGCCAGAATTGCGCAGATAACGCCTCCTAAATTGCTGACCCTCTGACTCTGAGATGATAAATGTCTGCTTTTTAAACCATTAAAGTTTGGAGTAATTTGTTATGTAGCAATAGAAAACTAATATATCCTAGGATCTTACCAACCCTTCCAGTTCATGATTCTACCATTTGATTCCAGGAGGATGTGTCTCTAGCTGCCTATTGTTTTTACTAGTACTTTACAAATTGCTTTGCCTGTTATATTTAAAAGCTCTTCCTTGAAATGCTTACATTCCATAAAACAAAACATTTTGGGCAGAAAACTAAGTAACATTTTTGAATAGAGATATTTTCCAACTGGATATTTGTTATTTTTGTAGCTTATATGTTTTAATAAAATGAGACCTTGGGAAATTGATCACTTTCCATGGAGTTCTGAAGCAGGAAAGGGCTCCTAGGTCCTCAGAGAGCCGACAGGAGATATGTGGACCCCTTGACATTGTATGCAATGTGTTGTGTTAAGAGCATTTTCTTGAGAAAGAGTATGTATGTACAGCTTTTACCAGATTTTCATAGTCTTGCCCTGCCTCCAAAAAAAAAAAAAGGTTAAGAACCATTTATCTGGTTTCCGTTGCCACCTGTGGGAATTCAGGTATAGAGAGGTAAGTGACTTACCCACGGTTAGAGACAGAGATCGTCTCACTCTTAACACGGTGCTCAGACTCCAATCTGAGAAATGAATTCTACCTCCAAGAGACAGCTCAGGGCAGAACTGGTCTTTGCAATGCTCTCAAGTGCCCAGACCCTCAAGACAAACCTTTACATGTATTATTTTGCTATTGTATATCTCTTGCTTATTTAGCTCATCAAGCTGCTTTTAGAAGGGAGTGGAATCCCCCAAAGAGCTCTCCTTGCTGGCAGACCTTTTATCTTGGTTCCTTTTAATTTTGCCCTTATATTGAAACACATAGAAACTCAGCCAAAGTGCTTTTTTTTTTTTTAAACCATGGTATCTGTTAGAATCCAAAATTACTTTGTGGAGGAAACACATTACACTTACCTGACCTGATTACTGTAGACATATCACTTACATGTTTCCTTAATATTTTTTAAAACCTTCACATCTTTGCAGTACTGTTACCCATATCTTTCTGAACAAAGCCAGATTTGAATGTTTTTTTTAAAACCTTCACATCTTTGCAGTACTGTTACCCATATCTTTCTGAACAAAGCCAGATTTGAATGTTACCATCATAATAAATTAATAAGAGATTTGGGTTGAAGGATCAAAAGATTAGAGTTAATTTCTAATATTTATGTTAGTTCAAGATACAGCCTGCCTATTTAGAAATTAGAAATTGCTAAGAACCATCCATCAGTGCCCGAAAAACAAATATAAATCGTTGATTGGAGAGCTAGAACATATCCTGCACAGTGCTGGTCATTCATGAGGTTCTCTTTAAATACTTCATTGCAAGTAGTACTGAGCAGTCATCCTGAGAAAGCCTGGCTGCTAAGGGAGCGCATGTAGTAAGCAGCCAGGCCTAAAGGAAAGAGAGTAGGAAATCTGACTTTTACACTTAAGGCTATCTTTACTTCAGCTTTCCGAAGACATTCACTTCATGTAGATTTGCCATTTATTCCCACCATCCCCATGCACTCCAGGACACAATCGTTTTGCTTTGGCCAAAGCCAAATCCAAGAAGCCATGACGGAAACCACAGTCCTAGAGAACCTGGGGCTGAAGAATCTGTGCTGATGCCACAAACTGCCCAGACCTAAGCCTGACCCCTGGCTGTCCCTCCTCCCACTTAGCTCCAGAAGATATCTGCTGTGAGCAGGTTCCTGGGTTGGCCACATGGCCTAGTGTGGCACTGGCCACCAATCAGGGGTTCTGAGAGAGCACTGCTAACTTCTCCTCAAAGGTGGCAACAGAGACTCAGAGCCTTGGAAACATTCCCAGGATCTCTGGATGCAAATGTTTTCAGCAAATTCAGCATTATATCCTAACTTGTAAAACAAATCTTGTAGCACAAAGATAAAGTTCAGTGACTCAAGTGCTAATCGGGTACATTTATTTTTCCATAAATAGAAAGACATGGGGATATTTGGCAGGAGGAAGGACATATTTTATATTTTGGTGATTTTCTTAAAAGTGAAAAGAGCTCTATATTTTAAAGTAATTCCAAAATAACAGATCAGCCTTGTTTGAGGAATGGCAGGAAAATCCTCTGACAAGGAAATTCAGTTTATTTTTAAACTTCCAGGGGGTTTAATTTAATTATAGATGGTAGCAAAGAGCAGAGATCCTTGAAAGTTTTTAAAAGAAAAACTGAAGTTTCTCTAAAAGGATAATATATTCAGCATCATGTACATATATATGGATATACACAGACACATATATGTATGTATGTGTGTGTGTATATATATATATGGGGGGCGGGGGTTGGAGAAAGAAAGAGAATAAGGAAGAAAGAAAAGGAGAGAAAAATCCTTTTTGTGGTGTTCTTTGTATCTACCCAGAAACTCTCATCTGGAAGTACGGAAGTTCATTAAAATGAGTAATTTGGGATGACAAATGTGGTTTTGGTGATTGTCTCAAGGAAAACAGCTCTTCACCTTGAGACAGACATGTAGTTTAGCAGACAAAATCAGTAGTGTCAGGCTGTGATCTTTTTTGCTATCTACACATTGCTTCTGGTGGGATTTTCAAAGCAGAGTCAAAATTTATACAATGAGGTTACAAATTATTTTTATGATAGTAATACTAACATTGAAAATGACTTTCACTAGGAGAGCTGTCTAAATTTCAGTTTCTGAAAGGATTAGATACTTTGATTTTGCATGCAAAAGATGCCAAGTATGCACTGAATATGAATTATAAAGCAATATTAAAAGAAAATACACATAGCAGAAAATATGAAAGTAGGTAAGAGCCAATAAACGTGAATTGTATATCTTCCACTACCTACTACGCGATTATTGATGCTCAAGAAATACTTGCTTTAAAAAAATCAAGGCATGTGAATGGGCCCAGAGCAATTTGACTATACTGAATCAAATGGTGACTAAAAATGCTTTGTTTCCCTCTTTTATTTTGTAGGTATTATTACTTGGCTTTCAGGACACATCAGACACTTCTTGCTAGCAAAGAGAGCTGTGTTGCTATCTTGGAAAAATCCAGATTAGATCACTGGCTGCTGGGGAAAACAAAGGTAGTTCTTTCTTTGTTGTTTAGATTGTCACCATGATGCTCTACTGTGTACCTTTGTCTCTTACCAATGATATGAATGGCTCTGTAAGTTGTGTAGCTTAGCAGACAAGACCCTAACCTAACAGTGATCTTTGCTGTTCTTAGCTCAGGAGTCCTGGAACCTCAGGGACCAAAGGAGGAGAGTTTGCCTCCTGTTCTGCATGTAGTTGGAGAACCATTTAGCATTTCTAGCATGAGATCCAGCACCGCAGGCAAATATACAAGTCATATTAGTGACAAGAATGAGTATTTTTAGTTTTGTCCATTTTTCTTCGGACTCATGTTATTTACTGAACACTCTGATTAGTAGTCTCATCATGTCTAACTTTTCATTTGGGAAACATCACATCCTGGTGGAAACCCAGGTTTTTATGGTCTGTTTGGGGGAGGTCAATAGGTTTGTTTGTTTGTTTGTTTGTTTGTTTGTTTGTTTGTTTGATGGAGGTACTGGGAATAGAACCCAGGACCTCATGCATGCATGCACTCTACCGCTGAGCTATACCTTCTCCCTGTCCGTTCTGAATTGCTCTATAAAGCCAGTCTTAGCCTGAGTGTGATGACAACACTGCCCCTCCTTGGTGGAAGTTAGATCACTGTGTCACCCAGGTCCCACTCTCTCCAAAGTTCTGTCAGCTGTGGGTCAGTTTTTCTGGTTGGGACCTCCATCAGAGCTGTGGGGAAAGAGAGCAGAGATCAAACTGAGAAAATGGAACTTGTGGCAGAAATGAGGCTGGCCAGGAGAACATGTGGGATCTCCTAAAACCCTGTGAACCTCATCGTCTGTTTATATCAATAGTCACACTTTGGCTCGACCTTAGAAGAGGAATTGTATTTGCTTCCAAGAAGTCAGTAATGTTAGCATAAATCAAGTCACTGTAAACTTTATTTTGATGATGCTTTTAATATTTATATTAAGAATATGTTGGAGCAGAGTGAATTTCTGTTTGGGAGCCCATATGTAATGCTAAAACTCACATCTCATTTCAGGTTTTTCTCAAGTATTACCATGTTGAGCAGTTAAATTTGCTACTGCGGGAAGTCATAGGCAGAGTGGTTGTGCTGCAGGCGTATGCCAAGGGATGGCTTGGAGCCAGGAGATACAAAAAAGTCAGAGAGAAGAGAGAGAAGGGGGCCGTTGCCATCCAGTCAGGTAAATGATCCTGAATCATGGCATTTCGTTCAGTTCTAGAGGCCACTCACTCATTGCTTTTCTCAGTGGTTTCTTCTCCTCCCTCCCTCCCTTTCTTCCCTCTTCTTTCCCTTATTCCTTGCTTCAGCAAATATTTACTGAGTACCTCCTGCAGGCCAGGCCTTGCGCTAGGTGCTGGGGATCTAGCTGAGAGCACGACCACCACGGTTCTTGACCTGCGGATAAGCAAACAAGTCATCCCTACCCACTATGATGAGTGGCAAGACGGAGACGGTGTGCAGTGGGTGGATGGATGTAAAACCTGAATCATCCAGACATGTGCCCCAGCTCCCAGATAGCTGACATAATGTGCACTTCACGTCCGTTACCGGGTTTTCAAGATCAGAATGATGACTGCCACATCCAGGCTTTTCTAGCCCAGACAGAGCTTGTCAGCCAAAGGAACCAGTCAATCACGAGGCTCTGTTAGGCACCCAGCCCAGTCAGTGCCTCTTTGCATCCATGTGTGCGTCACTTGTGTTACAAACGGCATTGGCCCTCCGGTGCTATCGTGTGGTTGTGAAAGCCCCTGATCTCAAACATAGCAAGTGATTTCCTCTGTGTTCTTATAACCCAGAATCATAATGTCCACTCCAGACTTCATGACCTCACTCAGTGACGTGGAAAGCCATGGGATGCTCCCCGGGGGAGCAAACTGGAGAGATGGTCACGCTCCTGGTGGGAGGCTCAGTGCCCCGGTTCCCTCTTTGAGGGACTCAACATGCTCTCCCTGCCCCCGGGGTTCCCTCTCTTTCTCTTCTTCTGTCCATCCCTTTACCTTTCCTTTCCGTTTCCATCAAACCCGTTCCTCTCCCCATGCACAATTCTGCACATAGTTCCTTCTCACCACACACAACTGTGATGCTACTAATAATTATTCTTTATTTTTCTCTCCTTTGACTTTCATGTTTACACCTTCCTCCCCATAAAAAATATGGACTGGGTCGGGCTGTTCAGTCCTCTCCCACTCCCAAGTCCTGAAGACAGAGCTCCTTCCATGGATGGGGAGTGACAGGGACCCACCTCCCCTGGATAGGGGTCCCAAGTGATTCATAAGTGGGATCCAGATTGTTCTGAACAAAAATACCTCCTTCTCAGAGCATCTTGGAAGCCAAGCTGAGAGTACAGAGAGGCCTCTCTTCGCCACCATCGCTCACGTATCTCGGCTTATTTTGTTCAATGAGGAAGCAGGAGGGAGGAGGAGAGGGGTAATAGATTGGAGGGAGAACAGCTTCTATCAATTCTCTGGCACGTTCTGAAATTAATGTCATTCCTTGCACATGGTTTTATATTTTTAGCCTGGAGAGGATATGATGCTCGGAGGAAATTTAAGAAAATAAGCAACAGAAGGAATGAGTCTGCTGCTCATATTCAAGCAGGTAATTAAAACATCATTTTCATAGCATCCACTTGGAAGTATTCTGTGATTAAGTTCATATGAGTTTTGAAAAGTGGAAAGGTTAATAATTCAGGAGCACTTGGAATAGGAGTCAAGAGTTCTAGTCGGGGATTCTAGTGCTTACTCTGATGCACCCCCCGCCGGTGATGATGATGGCACTAACCCTTAGTGAGCGCTGGCCATTGCCAAACCTGGCTAAAGATGCTCCGAATCAGTACTCTTATGTTCCTAATTTTATAGATGGGGAGACGGAAGCACAGAGAAATGAAGTGGCTTGCCCATGATCACACAGCTAGTCAGTGGCAGAGCCAGCGTTTGGTCACAGGCAGTTTGGATGGAGCCAACTTTGCATACCGCCCACTGAACCAATCCCTTTCCCTCTTGGAGTCACATGCCCCTCGTCTGTGAACAAGAACAGTGGCTCAAAAGGTCTGAAAGGGGTCTTCCAACCTTGGAATTCTCTGATTATATTCCAAAATAGTTCAGGGACCTTCTTGGCAAACCGAGTTTCCTGCACTCAGGCCTGCACATGGCTGAGGTGAGCATACGTGGCTCAGCATGGGCTGCCTGCGAGCTCGGGTTCCCAGCCCCCAGGTCATGCTGCTCTTCTGCGTTCGGCAGTAATCACAGTAACTGCCAGGCTGGGTTCCCTCTCTCATCTGAAACTGCACGTGCCGAATTGAAGCTCTGGAAGAAACAGGCCCCGGAGCACACCAGGAGCACTGAGAGCACGAGAAATTGGAGACAGAATTAGAGACAAGTGGCCAGTCCAGTGGACTCAGCAGCAGGGAGAGGGGTAGGGTTTCAGATACTCCTGCGCTTGAAGCAACTTTTAAATAAAACAGCTGCAACCTTTTCGAGAAGGTCCCTGCCCAGAACCTGGCTCCAGGGATAGTCTTCAGAACTCTCTGGCTCTGTAGAGGCCTGATGTCTTCATTCAAAACCAAAATACTGGGGAGGAAAGGGTACCATTTAAATCCAAATGTGTAACGTTGAACACCATCCCCTGGGAATTCTAAGCTCTACAGCTTCAAAGCATCAGGACAAGGACTGCAATTCTAGTTGCAGCTTAAGAAAGATAACTCACAGGGCATTTTTTTTTCTGTACTTGTCCACTACCCAACACACACACACGTGCACAATCCCCCTGTTAAGAGAGGATACTGGACTGATCTTGCAGTTTGGCCCAAAGCCCAACATACATTTTCAGATATAAACTTTAAGCTTGTATATTGTTGATCCACTGATCATAAGGTATGTAGGACCATAAATCAAATATTCCCTCTCTGAAAATCATCTTTAGAGGGCTTCCTTTTTGCACTCAGTTATTGCCAAGTGAACACTGCATAAGAACAGGCAAGTGGACTTCATCATCATATCAGGGCAGTCAGGACTGCATCTTTTCAGTGCAGCACCAATGGGACAGGTACGGTGGAAAGATGATTTTGTTTCATGGGACTGGAGAGAACACATTTCTTTAAGGAGCTTCCTCTTTTTTAGCTTTGCAAGCATCCCCCTCTGTAGCCTGGCAGCCAGCATTCCTGCTTAGGGAACTTCCATTAACTGCAGGGGCCAGGGCGGCAGGAAGTCATTGAGGATGGTGCTGATGCCACCTCCCTCGCCCTCTTGTCAGGAGAACATGGCAGCCACAGCAAAAGCAGGAGGAGTCTCTTTGCCCTTCAGCCAACACCAGGGACAGGAACTGAGGTGTGGGTTTTGTTAGTAGTAAAGATACTCGGATAGGATAACAACATTTGCAATTTTATGGGCAGCCTACTTTTGAGAACATTTTCCTTATCTTTAGGTGTGAAGGCAAGGTATGTTTATCAAAAAAGCAAAGCAACTCACTCCAACTTCTCTGTTTTGGGGTGTGTGCTTCCCAAAGCAAAATCCTCTCATTACGGCTCCTCTTCGTGCTACAAGGACGTGTGGAGTAGATAAGCCCCAGACATAGGGTTCCCTTACTTTTGAAGGCTGCGCAAAGTGGCTTAGGGACGTTGTCACGGCGCAACCATTTCTGGTGGTTTTCTAAAGTTTTTCTTTAATTTATCATTTTTTTCAACAAATCATTTCATTTGAAATTTAGAGCCTGTGTGACGTGTTTGTTTATATTTCAGGATTTGGCCTATAGTCTTTTTTTTTTTTAAATCGTATTGCTAAGCTATGTTATATAGTTCTAAAAGAGCAGCCCCTGAAATTTAGGAAGCATTTGGCCTACATGTTGCTGCAGAGCAGCGCATATTGAAATTTGTTTTCCTTTCATCTCCTTCCCAATAAAAGCAGCCGCGCGGCTTATCCCTTTAGCTTCCTCAGAACTTCCTTTCAGAATTCCCGATCTATTACTGCACATTCACATACCAGAAACAAGATGCCTTTTCATGCTGTCAACCTTTTTCATCTGAAATGTAAATTAATTCTTGCTGGTATGCCTTGACAGAGATCAAAGTCAGGGTATTAACCTTCCCGAGCTTTCTCCAGGAATCTGTCCACAGGATCGGGCTGCCGCTGTTAGGAGGCCGGTGTCCCAGTTACAGGGCCCTCCTCCAGGCAGTCCTCAGCCTAGGAGCCACCATCCCAAAGGCCCAGAGCCCTTGTGAACATGACCTCATCATTACTTTCAACTAGGTGAGGGATGAGCTGACTACCTTGGGAGAGATGAGCCTGCTCATCTTAATTGTGGGCCCTTCGCTCAGATTCCGGGAGCTTGTTTAAGTGGTTCTGACAGCCAGTGATCTCGGTGTGAGAGAGGGAGGGACAGGGCTCCAGATTGGAAACCTCTCCCCTTGCTCAGTGGGTCTTTTTCTGCCTGCCAGTCTTTGAGGTAGGCCACATTTGCATTTTCAAAATAAACAGATGCCTTTCAAATACATGAGCTGGTGGTCTAGAGATCTCTGTGGGCCCGAACAGTTCACCAGCCAGGCAAGCAAAGCTAGAAAAGAAAACAAACGGGGAAACATGCCAGGCACACGCGCACACACTTCCCGTGCGCGCACCATTGCACCGCCAAGAAAGGGCCTTCATGAGACGTGGGGTCACACGGAGAGCCAGCGAGGATCTGAGCAGAAGTGCAGTTTATCAGTTTCTTTTGGGGGGGAAGAGGGCGGGGAACAACTTTGAATGTCACCTTGGTGAGATGTTTCACTGCTTTTGTTATTGGTTAATGCTGATAATAGGCTCTTGCCATAGGAAAACCCTCCTTTAAACACCAGAGAATTTAAAATATGTACTTTTTCAATGAGAAAAATAAAATTGCACACATATTGGTGCTCTGATAGACGGGGTATTCTAAGTAAAAACTAACAGTTGTATGTCATTTCATTACTAACTGTCACTTTTTAAAATGAATTCTTAAGTTTAGGAAAGTGAATATAACTAGATTTCATCAACTAGAAATGCATACATTCCTCAATAAATACTACCAAGACAAGTTGCAACGAAGTTTTTTTTAAAGATCTGCAATGTCTCATTCTTTGAGTTTTTTAAAGCATAGTTTTTTTTAAGATTGCCCTCTAACTCACGATCTGTTTTTTAAGGGAGAGCCAAATGCTAGCCTCTCCGTTTCACAGAGGAAAGGCCCCGAGTAGGTGGCGGTGGAGCCCTAGGGGCTGGGAATGGAACTTTAGTGTCTCCCAGGAGGAGCTGTTCCTGCAGCCCCTTCCTCCCCTCTCCCCCAGCCCCCAGGAGCAGGAAGAGCCCGTCGGTCGCTTTACAGCACTTTCCGGCTGATTGCTTCAGTGCTGTGGCGGCTGTAGTTTTCTCTTCCCCTCCGTCCTCTGATCAGCTTCCTACTTAATGCCCTCCTTGGCCCTCCAGGAGATAACAGCACTAAAAACCACAGCCCTTTCTCCTTCTGATGCCCTTCGGGGCGCATGCTTCTTGTAGCCGCAGCCTCAGCCCGGCCAAGACTGAGAGGACGTTGTAAACCGGCTGTGGCTGGAACCCCTGGGCGCATCACATGAGGCCAGCTGATGGGAGCGGTTTTAAATGCTGCTCCCGAGAGGAAAGCAAGCATCGCATCCGGACAGGCTCTACCTCTCCTCTGGGTTAATTTATAGAAGCCTGACCCAACACATGACGGAACTGAGTTTTTAGTGCTGAGAACTGCCTGTAAACTTTTAAACCTCGCTCAGAGTAAGGCTTTCTCTCATCTTTTCTAACTTTAAACGGCTGGTTCATTTATCATTGTTGGTGGGTTGGCAATGACTAGGTGGTTGCAATAATTTCCTGAAACTAGATTTCCAGAAATATCCGTAGGTGCACAGGATAACTATTTTAAAGTAGGAAATTTCTTTTCTCTCCTTCACTTATTCAGCTACCTACTTTATGCTAGAGCTGCTACCATGGTGAACAATGGCATTTAATGTGGGGCTGCAGATTTTCCACATTCAATTCGGAAGCCTAAAAAAAGTACTCTCCCTCGAATGGATGCTGTTTGTGTAAATCAGGTGCTCTAGATTGTCAGCACTCAGTGGAAGGGAGTTCTATAAAACTCCAGTGCAACACAGAGTCAGAATCATTATAAAATATCGCTGGGGATATATTATCCTCATTGGTCTATTCTTCTTGAAGATAAAAATGATCACACTAGATATTTTACATCCTCACATGGCTGTGCATAAGCAGATTGTTGACCACAAGCCAAACAGTAGAGGAAGGTCAAGTGAATGTACCATTGAGGGGAAAGAGAAGAAGCTTCAAAGCCAGTGTGGACTTGAGGTCCTCTTGTGCCTGATATACTGACCTGGCATGGAAATGTGCTTAAGATGAAACTTTGGTGCAGCAGTTGGCACCCCAAGACTCAAGATTAAATTTCAGAGGAAGCCCATGAATAGAATCTGTTCAGTATTGAATCAATTTCTCCATTATGAACCTCACATAGAGCTCCAGAATCTGACTACAAAAAGGCAATGCCCAAAATGGTATGTTTACCACCTCACCACTGAGTGAGGCAACATTATTATGATCAGTTATAATTGATCA